CTTGATGTACAGACTTGTGAAGGACAGTCCCTGTTGTAAATAATTAGGGCTTATTCATTTTTTCATGTAAATACATGTACATATCTCATGGGTTTGGTTCTTACATACAATAAACTTTTATCCTGTTCCTCGAGGGGACCCCCTGTCCTGTGGGTGTCCTTTAAAGGAGCCCCCCTGGGGGAGCAGGGCATGGGAAGGGCTGATGGGGGGAATCACCATGCTGAACCTGGCCCCAGACCCCATGGTGGCCCAGTGACAGTCCTTCTGAGGAGGGCTGTGTGGTGTCACAGAATGGTTCAGATGGGAAGGGACCACAGTGGGTCATGTGGTCCCACCTCCCTGTGGACTCCACAACCTCTCTGGACAATCTGTTCTGGTGCATGGTCACTGCACAGTAAAGAAGTTTTTACTTGTGGTTCAGGTGGAACTTCCTGGGCATTGGTTTCTACTCATTGCCTCTTGTCTGCAGCACCACTGAGCAGAGCCTGGTCCATCTTGGCACCCCACCTTAGGTGTATAAATACATACATACATACATACACACACACACATACATATACATATATATATATATATATATGAGCAGAAATGCAGGACCACCTCCCTGACCAGCTGGCAATACTCTCTCTAATCCCCTCTATGATCCCACTGGCGTTGTTGTCCCTCAGGGCACACTGCTGGCTCACAGACAGCTTGTTGTCCACCAGGACCCCCAGTCCTTTTCTGCAGAGCTGCTTTCCATGTCAGCTCCCAGCCGGTACCGGTGTTCAGAGCTGTTCCTCCCCAGGTGCAGGACCCTGCATTTGTTGAATTTCAGAGGTTGTTCTCTGCGAGAGGGTCGCGGGTCCGCAGGGCACGAGGGGACAGAGGGGACAGGGACCCTGCCCAGCTGGGGGGCGGGGCGATGCGGAACAGGCCGCGCCCTCTTGGTGCATGACCACGCCTCTTTCCCACAGCGGGTCTTCCTGGCCCCGCTTCCGCGCGGGGCACGCTGGGAGTTGTAGTGCGGGCGGTGCGGAAGCCGCGGCCGCCATGGCCCCCGTAGCGGCCCCGGCCCCGGTCCCGGTCCGGGTGCTGCTGGTGCTGCTGGCGGCCGCCGCCCGCCCCGCCGCCGCCTGGGACCTGTGGGCGCTGCGCTGCGGCTTCTCGGCGGACTGCGAGTGCGGCTTCGGGCCCGACCTGCGCGGTCAGCGGGAGCGGCCGGGCGGGAGGGGGGTCTGGGGGCAGGGGGACCCTCAGGGGCGGGGGGCGCAGCCGCCGAGGCCGGGAGGCAGCAGGCGAGGGGGTCCCGGGAGCCAGCGAGGGTCTCCAGGAGAGCCTGCCCGGGGCGTCCCTTGGAGCGGGGTCTCTCGACAGCCGGGGATGAAGGGCCCAGCGGGGCGGCCCCAGGGACGGGACGGGGAGCGATGACAACCCGCGTTCTCCAAGTCCTGGTTTCATTTCGTTTCAGGGCTGGAGTTTGACTTGGCCACGAACCTGGTGGGGCAGCCCCTGGTGAGGCAGCAGGTGATGAAGGGGCTGAGGGAGTTCCTGGAGAACCCGAATCCAGTGAAACCCCTCGTGATGTCCTTCCACGGCTCGACAGGGACAGGCAAAACCTACGTGAGCTCCATGCTCATCCGCTACCTCTTCCAGAGGGGGCTCCAGAGCCCCTATGTTCACCACTTCTCCCCCATAGTGCATTTCCCCCACGCTGAGCAGATAGAGCAGTACAAGGTAAGGGACGCTGCTCGGCAGTGCCACTTCACTGGGGGTTTTGGCTGTGTCTGGGTTGATCCTTAGTACATATGCATTCAAGCTGTTTCCTGAAGTGCAGCAGGAATAAAAGCTCTTTGTTTTACCCTCTCAGACGAACATAGCTGAGAGAGTGGCTCCATACACTGGCTGAAGGATGCACTAGTAACTGCAATATACGCAGTTATTACTTTCGTCCTCTCCACAGCAGTCCCTGCCCTGATCGTGTTCTCATTCTTAAATATTTACACAGCTCTTTGAGCACACAGACAAAAGTGCTTGGCTTAGATGAAAGGTACTAAAATTTTCCCATTGCTTTCCAAACAGCCTGATGGCTGTAAAAACCTGCATATCACTAGACTTGTAATCCCCTCCTCACAGAGCACACAGCTCCCTAACAGCAGCTCCAGACTCTCCATGGTGCCATTCTGTCTCTTAGAGCTGAGAAAAGAGAGAAATCAAAATGCCAGATTTTCAGCAGAGTGGGAATTGAGCACACCTGGACCTTTAGTTTCTGGGTGTTTGGAGAAGTGATTTGTTGTGTTGTGTCCTTAGAGGAAACGCTTTTGGAAAAGTAAATCCCTTCCTGGCTGAAGTGCTTCAGTGAGGAGTTTCACATGCCCCCAGGCAATGTGAGTGGTTTTGTGTGGGCTGGGAGGTACCTTCAGCCGTGATAAAGAGCTGTTCTGGGTCAGTGCAGGCACATGTTTCTGCATCAGAACGGGAGCTGGCAAGAAGCTGGGAACTGTAGATACAACAGGGAGCAAGAAGAACGTGAGGAGCTGTAGGAGTCTGAATCTCCAGCTTTAGTGTGCTGCCTCCTCCTTTAAATCTGTATAAAAAGACCTACAATGGTTTAAAAAAGCTGATAAACACCACTGTGTGGAACCCAGAATAAAGGGGCCTCCCCAGCACTGGGTGTTTCAGCTCCAAGTGTGTGGTGCTGTGCAGGGACATGCTGCTCTCAGCACCTTTGGCTGTGCTTGAGCTCCTGCCTCAGCCTTTACTCTGGGGTGTTTGAGCCTTCCTTGCCCTCTCACTGCCTCACACTCGGTGGGGTTTTTCCTAGGAAAGCCTGAAGCGCTGGATCCAAGGGAACCTGACCGGCTGTGGACGCTCAGCATTTCTCTTTGATGAGATGGACAAGATGCACCCAGGCCTGATTGATGTGATCATCCCGTTCCTGGGGCCCTCGTGGGTTGTGTATGGGACCAACTACCGCAAAGCCATCTTCATCTTCATCAGGTGAGAGAGGCCTCTCCATGGGCCCTTCCAGCTCACTGCTGCCCATTTGGGCAGAGGTCACACCTACCTCAGGGCACACACTTGTTTTGCCTTTCCTTTACCCAAGCCTTGAGCCTCTACAAATGCCAAGAGATGCAGTCTCACTGTGAACAGACAGATCTGGAGAGTGTGAAAAAGCCTCCTCTGCATGTTATTTGGCTGCCTCTACAGGAGTTATTTTGGGCCAGGCAGCTGGGAGCTGCTGGCTTGCACTCTGCAGGCTGGTGGGTGTCAGGTGCCACCTGAGACACCATTTTCCTGGCTGCACAGTGGATAAGGCTCTCATTCTTGTGCAGCAATGCAGGAGGGGAGCAGATCAACAACGTGACATTGGCTCTGTGGCGTGCCCGCAAGGACCGGGAGGAGATCAGCTTGCAGGACCTGGAGCCAGCCATCTCCAAGGCCGTGTTTGAAAACCCTGAGAGTGAGTCCATGGAGCTGAGCTCCTCCTGTAGCCCCACAGCCCAGCACAGGCAGCCAGGCCTGTTCTAGGAGCCACCCACATCACCTGCTACCTCCCAGGCAGCCAGAAAGGGACAAGGGGGTTTTGAGGGATTGGAACTGTGAGGTTTCCTTCCTTCTGAGCCAGCAAACCTGTTGCCATATTTAGCAAAGTTCTTGGGAGACAAGGTGTGTTTGCAGCTGGGGGCTGGCAGACAGCACAGCACACTTGCCAGAACAGCACTGAGCTATATTGATCCCCACTGCCTGCCTGCATCTGCTTGCATTGCCCTTAGCACAGGGAGCAGAGCTTAAATTCTGACTAGACAAGCTAAATCCCCCCATTTATGGGGGGAGAAAGTCTATTTGGGGGGAGGTGACAGCTGATGGGTTCAAAACCAGCGAGATCTCTCTTCAGCAGAATATTTTGGCTTCACACAAAGCAGCTCTTTGAATTGCAGGGACTGCAGAGCCTCTCTGAAGGTAAAACCTTCTCTCCCTTCCCTTGTGCAGGTGGTTTCTGGAAATCTGGGATCATTAATGAGCACCTCATTGATTTTGTTGTGCCTTTCCTCCCACTGAAGCACCACCACGTGAAGCAGTGTGTTATCAGTGAGCTCACCCAGCAAGGCCTCGAGGTACGCCCGGATGTCGTCCAGGAAGTGGCTGACAGCATCCCCTACTTCCCAGAAGAGGAGAAATTATTCTCATCAACAGGCTGCAAAACAGTGGCCTCTCGCATCAGTTTTTTCTTCTAGTCACTGGCAAGGGCCTCTCTCAGATCCACATGGAGCTAGAAGCAGCCAGGGCTGGTGGGATGTGCAGTGGGAATGGTGTGTCACTCCCCACAGCACAAGTGCTCTCCTGCTGAACTCTCTCCAGCTCCAAGGAGTCCACTGCAGGATGCAGCTGCAGGACCAGGTGCAAATTATGTCATTTAAAGCACTTTACTGATTGACTTTTGGCCAGGTAAAGGTGGATCCACCACCTGAGACGTGTGATGACATGGGGAAGATGCTGAGAGGGTCTGCAGTGTCAGGAAGGTTCTCATCCTGTCAACAGCACCCCTCCAGAGCTCTCCCCACTTCTGGCAGCTGTTGATACCCAATACGTTAAGATTCTGAGCCCACAGAAGAATATTTCTTCCTTACAGCTTTTTAACAGTTTTTTTAAAACCTTTTTAAACATAGCTGTGCCTCAGTTCCTTGGCACAACATACTGGTGCTGACTCCTGTGAACACCTCAACATGGCAACCAAGGTTTCTTTTCAAGGAAGTTTTAGAGCCACCCACATTCCAGTTTCCTTTCACTGTGAATAGGTGCTTGGTAGCTTCAACACCAAATGAGGGGGGTAATGTGGGAGAGGGGAACACCTGATCTGCCATGAGCCAGGCTCCCCTACCACCCCTTCATCCATGTTTCCCCTAAGGGACAAAGGATTTCCCTGTAGCAAACCAGGAAAACAACAACAAAAGACTTCTTGCTTGTTTTGCCAGCCGTGAAGAATCTCATCCTACCTCCAGGGGAGCCCACAGTGCTGCTAACGGTTTTGAAAATTCATTTTATTCACTGATGGTTTCTACAGCAGAGTTGGTGCTCTGAGCTGTGGAGCTTCTTGTACATCCTTGTGCTGGTCAGACCTTGCAGGCTTTGGCTGGGCCAGCAGCCATTCAGCTTCTGGGGAGTGTCACAGTGGGGGACCTGGGGACAAGTTAGAGAAGATTAGTGCTCCAGACTGCCAAGCATGGGATGCACAGCCTGGTTTTTGCCCTGATTTTAATATCCTCTATGCTGTTATGGAATAAGAGGTCAGGGGAACCAGAGTCATTCACTCTCTAGGAACAACGTGCTCAAGGGATGGGTGTAAGGACACTTTGCAAATCTTCCAAAGCTCTGCTTGTTCCCTGTATGGAAATGAGCTGCCAGTGCTTGGGACCATTCCAGCTTCAGGCCCTGAGCTTTGGGGATTTTAGACACCATGCAAAGGCTGCCCAAGAGCTGGCCCAAAGACAGGCAAAAATTCTGCCTCTTGCAAAAATATGAATTTCTAATTTTAAAATAAATCTTATAAGAATGAAACAGTTGAGGTGTTTACATGGATTCCTGACTGCACGTAGTGTGGAAGGACTTGGAAGATTTCCAGTTTCCAGCACAGTGATGTGCTGCTGGGCTGGGGAACTGTCCCGGTGCCCTGGAACAAAGCTGTGCCTTGCTGGCAGGGTGAGTGGAGACGGAACGGGCACAAACACACAAACCGCGAGGCCCCGTCCTGGGCATTCGCTGTTCCTGCGAGTCCCTCGGGGACCCTCTGCAGAGCTCCTCACGGTCTTCTCGGGGGGGGGGGGGGGGGGGGGGGCGGTCCTAGGCCGCGGCGCCCTGTTAACGCGCCTCGCCGTCCCCACCACAACCACCTCCAGCTCCAGCCGGCCCGCGGGGCATTGTCACAGCGGCGGCACCGCCCCCGACACCGCGACACCGCCCCGTCGCCCGCTAGAAAGATGGCGGCGCTGCCCGTAACCAAGATGGCGGCGGGAGGGCGAGGTGACGTCGGCGGGGCGCTGAGCGGCGCGGGGCAGTGACGTCACGCGGGCAAGGAGGGCGATGCTGGCGGCGGAGGTGGCGGGGAGCGCGCGAGCGCTCGTGGGGCGGGCGGGGCCGCGCGCCATGGTGAGGGCGGGGGGAGCGGGGACGGGGAGGCCGTGAGGGGAACGGGGCTGTGAGGGGAACGGGAGAATCGGGGCTGTGAGGGGAGCACATGGAGATGGACTGTGAGGGGAACGGGGCTGTGAGGAGAACAGGGTGGATCAGGACTGTGAGCCGAGCAGACGGAGCGGGGCTGTGAGGGCAGTGCCGGGGGCATCAGGTCATGGGCGAGCACCGTCACGATCAAGGTTGTGAGGGAGGCATCGAGGGAAGACGGACTGAAGGGAATGCTGTGGGGATCGAGGCTGTGAGGACCCAGCCAGCTGCGGGGAGCATGGAGGGAGCAGGTCTGAGCCGTGCTGGAGGGGATCAGGTCCGTGCAGGGGCCTCATGGTGGCCCGTCAGAGCCCTGTTGACAGCTGTCATACAGGTGGCCGGCCTGGGCAACTACGGGCTGCGAGGCACACGGCACAGCGTGGGCATGGAGGTGCTGGACCGGCTGGCCCGGCAGCTGGCAGTGGCCGAGGGGTGGCGAGTGGACAAGCGGTGCTGCGCTGATGTGGCCCTGGCCACAGCCCACGGCCTGGAGCTGGTGCTGCTCAAGCCACGGAGGTTCATGAACCTCAATGGGCTCAGCGTTGCCAGTGCTGGTGAGCAACTGGGTCAGCCCCAAAGCCTCTAGTGGCACCAGCCCCCTGTGACAGCCCTGCTGTCTCCCTGCCCTCCACGGCTCACTACAGCCCCACTCTGCAGAGGCAGGGCCTGGTGAGTCTGTCTCCCCTTATTTCTTAGGTTGTATTTCTGTTTCCAAAGCTGAGATCTACAGCCTTGGCCCTGGAGACATTTACCTGGTTCACGACGACCTGGACAAGGCCCTGGGCAAGGTGGCCATCAAGCTGGGAGGCAGTGCAAGGTATGGGGTAGCCCCAGCTCCCTGACTGTGTGAGCTGGTTTGAGGCTTTAACATGCCCATACAGGTTCATGGGCTGTTCTTGGCCCCATCCCACCAGCCTTGTAATGTTTCAGCTCTTGCCTGGGCTTGATCTATTGCAGAGGCAACAGCTGGCTGTTTGGGCAGCCTCCCAGTTCCTGCCCTGGCAGGGAGGGCAGGGAGCCTCCTGGAAGCAGCTATGGGCTGGATTCAGCCCACTGACAGCACCACATGAGTTTTTTATAGCACTCTGCCTCCACTGTGCCTGCCCAGCACCGGACATTTAACCTAGGAAAGCTTCCATTGCGGGATGGGGCAGGTACAGTGCTGGGCCCTGTGCTCAGTCACACATGCATCAGCTGTGGCAAGAGCTGACACACAGAGAACGTGCTGTCCCAGCCCTGCTTCCCTAAATCCCCCAGCCAACTGCTGTGAGCCCCCAGGGCTGGATGTTCCTGCAGAACCAGGACATGGGAACTGCAGCCCTTGGCTGGGACCACATTCCTGCAGCAGGAGACCCAGGGCTATATGAGGGGCTGTCCCTTACAAACTAAGTGTGGGTTTTCTCTTTGTCTCCCAAGGGGACACAACGGGGTCCAATCCTGCATCAGTGCTCTGCAGTCCAATGTGAGTGCATGTCAGGGATCAATCCTGTGCCCCCCTCAATGCATGGCTTGTTCCCCCACTCCCATTTTTCTGATTCCTCTTAGACAAACCCCTGCTCCCTTTCCCCCCTTTTCTCCTTCCCCGTCATCCTGGAGGGCTGTTGTCTGTTTGGCCGCCATGGAGGACATGGAAACAATTAGCTTGAGTGCCTCTGCCAGGCCTGGCAGGAGCCTGGGATCTCGGCACAGCCCAGCTAAAGCCTCTTCCAAAATTATGTTTCTTGGAGCAAACACTCAAAACCACCTGGAAAACATGAGGAGCTGTTCCCTTGCTGCCCAGCCCCACTCTCAGCACTGTCCCCTTGCCTAGCTCTGTCTGAACACTTGAGGGGAAGCTCCCCCAGCTCTCTCCCTTCCTCCCCAGGAGATGACCCGGCTCAGGATCGGCATCGGGCGGCCAGAGGGTGACGTGACAGTGCCCAGCTATGTCCTGTCTCCGTTCAGTGCTGGGGAGCGGGAGAAGCTGGAGCAGATCCTGGCCGAGGCAGTGACCTGCCTGCTGCAGCACATCCAGAGCCGAGCACCTACAGAGCCAGGGGACAGGGGCTGACACAAACCCCCCGGGACCCTTGGGGCTGATGGACAGGGTGCTGCAGGCACTCCGGAGTGACCGTGGTGCGGAGCTGAGCTGGCCCAGCCTGGCAGCCTGGCTGGGAGCTGGGAAAGCCTCCTTCCATGCCCACACCAATCCAGGCAGCTCGTGTCCCACTTGAATCCCTGCAGAGGCTCCATGCCTCAGTTTGGCACAGAAATTAAATAAACCCTCACCCTGACTCTGCCCTGCTCCTGCCTCTCTTCCATGCGCCGCTTGCCAGGCTTGGGCTGTCCTTGGCACTGCAGCTCAAATCTGTGTTCCCATCCCTGTTCGACCAGCACAGTCTGGAGGGAGGCTTCTAGTGAGAAATGGGGAGCAATAGGAGCTACCTCTGTAGAGTCCAAAGGCACTTCAGCTTTGCTGAGAAACTGGCAAGCACAGAGAGCCTGGAATCCCATAGCGTGCTGCTCAGAGCTGGCCTCACAGTGTTCTTGAGTTCAGTGGTTTTGGCTGAAACTGTGGAGTTTCCAACAGCTGCAGGAGTGCTGGCTTCCCGCAGACCCGTTGTAGGTCTCGTGGAGAGCACAGACTGAGGCAGTGTGTCCTCACCACTGCTGTGTCCCAGAATCCTGGGTGTGCCAGCATGGCCTGCCCAGCTCTGTATCCCAGGAACACTGAGACACCCAGCAAAGGCAGCTCCTCTCCTGCATCCCAGCAGGCACTGGAACATGCACTGGGACACTTGCTGGCTGACGTATACCACAGTGTTTCTGTCGCTTCCATCCTCTGCTCCAGCTGGCACCAGACATTCATCTGCTCCATCCCCAGCTCCTGAGCTCCTCCTGGAGCACTGAGGCTGCCTGGGCCAGGGGAAAAGCTGGGAAGCAAAAATGTGCCCAACCTGTCATCCCTTCCTCACCCATGTCTATACTGGCTGGGACCCTGCACTTGCAGAACAGGCACTTGGCCTTCTCCTCCCTGTTCTCCAGGAGATCCACTCAGCTCTTCAGGTCCTGTATGATCTGGAGCTGGTTGTTTTCCTTCCAAAGGTCCCTGCTGTAGCTGTTCAACCTGCCCCAAATTAGGCTTTCCTGAATCCCTTGTAGTCTCAGACATCTCTCTGGGTGTCTGCTATCAAGGCAGACCTGCTGCTCCATCACCTCCACTCCCAGTGTAGAGCTGAGCTCCATGAAGATGCCACCCACCTTTTCCACCCAGACCCCAAGGGTGAGCTTCAGTCTTCCTCCCCACCACCTCTCTCCTTCCCTCTCTCCCTTACAGATTTCATTCCCAAAGTTCCCAGCTGGGAGAACTGCCAGACCCTCGCCCCTGCAGCACCGAGGTGACCCCTGGGAACTTGGGGCAATGCCAGCACCCAGCACACCAGCTCAAACAGTCTGCTTTAATCCTCCCTGGGCTTCCACCCAGGCATGGCACGAGGGACAAGCCCAGTCAGTGGCAGGAGGCCACCACGTGTGCCAGCCCAAAGTCCACTCCCCAAAGTCCAGGCTGGTGGGAGACGACAGAGTTGGCATTGATTGGGACTGTCCTGGAGATGTGTCCTCAGCAGAGATGGAGCACAGCGCTCCTCTGGTCTCTCCACTTGGCAGGGAAAGGCTTTCCTGGGGCAAATCCTGCCTTGGGTGGATTCATCATATGCAGATCCAAAGAACCCTGTGGGGCTCTGTCCAGGGCAGCTGCATCTCCTGAGAGGGAGTGGGCAGTAAAAGGTCCTTGCCCACGGTGCTCCCAGCTGGATCACAATCCCTCATCCCTAGGAGGCACGGACACAGACATTAGTGGTCACGGCAGGAGCAGCCCCAGCGTGTTCACGCCTGCAGCCGAGGCAGTGGGAGGGCTGTGTTCCAGCCTCCCCCGGTCTGGCAGCTCCCAGGGCAGTTCTGCTGCCAGGACAAGCAACCTCAGGCAGGGAAAGTCTGACCCAGCATTAACTGTGTCTGTGCTGCCCTGGGGTTGAGCCAGTGTGGGTCGCCTGCCTGCCTGCATGGCCACAGCCAGAAGGAGACCCACTTCTGAGGGGAGCAAGCAGTGCTGGGCTGAAACGTTCCCCTGGGAGATGCCCCAGCTCTTTCCACACTTTTGCAGCAGGAAAAGGAGCGTTCTCCCTTCCTCATCTGAGGGGCTGGGGAGCAGCATGGACTCAGGGAGATGGGAGGGCCCTGTCCCCATATCCCCTCCAGCCCAGTGCAGCCCCACATGGGACATGTGTGTCCCCACCCCTTTCCCCACCTGGAAGAGACAGTCTGGTCTCTGTTTCCCAATGCTTTGAGTCTGACAGGGAGAGCTGCTGCCCCATGACAAAAACAAACTAGACACGTGGGACACATCTGAACATGGTACGTGCAGGAAGACACTCCCCAGCTGCTCTGTCCCCTGTGCCTGGGTCTCAGAGCCTTGCTCACCATCAGAGCTCGTCACGTGCCGTGGAGCGGAGGTGGCCAGCGCTGCCCCGTGAGTCCCTCAGTGTCTTTTGTGAGCCAACCCAGTCGGTCTTCTTGGCATCGTCATCCCAGATGGTGGAGGTCTCAGTGTCACTCAGCCAGTTGCTGTCCCCAGCATAGTGAGTGGGATAAACCAGGAGGGGGTGAGCTGAAAACACCAGCAAGTCCCGTGGGGAGAAGTGCCGCTTGTAATCCTCACTGGGGAAAGTGGGGCAGACCCAAGAGAAAAAACTGGCTTACAGAGGAGCACACAGAGGAGAAAAAGCACTGGGAAAATCAAATCAACCACCCGGGGAAGGCTCCATGCAGGGCAGGGGCTGGGGAGGGATGTGGGGTAGCAGGCATGGAGCCGAGGAAGCTGGGCAGGGACTGTGGAGGGATTACAGAGAGGACAGGACCTGTGGCTCCCCACCAGCTGGGGCTGGCTCTTGGCACAGAGTGGGTCTCTGGCACAGCATCCAGCTGGCCCTGAGACAGAGCTGTCTGGTGCTGTTATGCCTGCAAGCAGGGGGCTTCCAGCTGCTGCTGGTGCATGTCCAGAGCCCTAATCTGTCCCTCCATCCACCTCCAGCCTGCCTTTTACATGCCTGATCTGTGTGTTTGTCCATCCTGCTCACTGGGTTGCCCAATCCCTTCTCTCCCAGGACACCCACCCCCTAAATTGCCTCCCCCTCCCCAGACAAAGCCTTACTGCTGACCCCCATCCCAGAGAGGTGCATGAAGTTGCTCCAAATTGGGGCTGAGACCCCCAAGCAGGGGCAGGGGACCACACAGCCCCCCAGCATGAGGGTACAGGGGGCTGCTCCCCACCCCTTCCCATGGGGCCAAGACCCTGTGGAGGGCCCACACCAAGCCCAGCTCCGTTCCCATTCCCCCACCCCATGCTGGCAGAGGGCCATTTTCCAGCGGCCAGAGGCCAGGCAGCGGCGAGCTGAGAATGAGCTCATGCTACAGATGTTTTCCTCCAGCGTGAGTAACGCCTGCAAGGGGGGGAACTGGGTGAGGTGGTGACGGCAGAGAAGAAACACATTGTCCCACACTGGCATGGCCAGGCCAGCACCCTCCTGCACAATCTGCTCCTTACTTGGGGTGCTTGTCATACATGATGGGCAGATACTCGTCCACGGGCAGCATTTTGGAGAGGGGTTTGGTGGCCAGCAGCTTCTGTGCCCCGTGGTGGGAGATGGCATAGGCCAGTGTCCAGTACGAGTACCCGGCCACCACCAGATTCCGCACGCCTTCCACAGGTGCCTCATCCTCGTCGTTCACCTGTTTCCTCCCCAGGTAGCTGTGGGGTGGCCAGGGAACCATGAGAGCCAGCCTTGGGGACCCCACCCCACATCCCCCTAGCCCCAGCACCTACATAAGGTCCCAGTCCTGCTGTGCCTGCTCCAGCTCGTCCATCAGCCGCTGCAGACGTGCTGGGAAGGCAGCCTCGAAGCGCACGTCATCCTCGAACACCACCGACCTCTCCAACCCCCGGGACACAATCTGGGAGAGGGGACAGAGGTGCCAGCCCATCCCAGTACCACTCTGGATCATACTGGGGCCACTGACCCTGCAGGACACCCCTTCTTCCCCAGGTCCTCCAGACATCTGTGATGCTCACAGGGTCCCTGCCCACTGCTGGTGGCCCTTAGGGAGCTGTGGCCGCTGTGGCCCCATACCTCCTTCCAGATATTGTAGTGGCTGAGGAAGCAGCCAACCTCGCCCTTGGTGAGCGTGCGGCCAGAGAAGGGATCGTAGTACCCAGGTAGCAAGTCCACACCCAGCACCTTGATGTCACTGCTGTTGAGGGTGCTGCAAGGCAAGGGGCTGCATCAGCAAGGTGTCCCACCAGACACTCCCCATCCCCTCCCCAGGGTGACACAGGGGACTGGCTGAGTGGTTCCCCCACGGTCACCTGCCATCCACAGCATCCACCACCCGTGGAATGATCTCCAGCTCCTGCAGGGATGCCAGCATTCGCTGCCGTCGGTCTGGCCTCCGCACCAGGTTGATTAGGAAGATCTGGGGAGGAAGAGGAGAGCCCCAACAATGGGGTGTGTTGTCATGGGGGACACAGAGGCTGCCTGGCTACTGCAGGATGGGGACAGGGGCTCGGGCTTTGCCATGGATGGATGCAATCAGAGAGATGGATGCAACCAGGGGACAGGGGAACACGAGCAGCTCCACTGAGCACTTACTTCATCAAAGCCCATTTTTGTGAGTGGCCTGGGCAGGAGAGAAATGTGCCTGGAGCGCTGCATGGGGGGACCGTCCACTGTGGAGAGAGGAGACACTCTTCAGTGGAGCCCAGATTCCCCTGGCTGGGAGCTGGGGCTGACAGCCCTGTCAGGACCTGGAGGCCTCCAGGACCTCTCCACCCATGGGCACTCACCCATGGCCTCCAGCGTGAGATGCACAAAGTTAGCATGATCATCCTCCAGCGTCTGGTGGGCCTTCACAGGAACATTGATGTAACCAAAGTGATGCTGGTTGCACACATGAACCTCCACACCTGCCGGATGAGACAGGTGAGCGGCACAACCCCCCCAGCCCCTGCACCCCCCGAAACCCCCATCACCCTCACCAGCCTCCTGGCAGGAGTAGGCAAAGACAATGATGTCATCGAAGGCCCAGGTGTAGTTGGGGTGGGGTGGGTAGAAAGCCAAGTGCGAGGTCTCCTCCTTGCGCAGGTCGATCAGGAAGGTGGCGTAGACCATGGGCACACGGAAACAGCCCCGGCGCTGCCGGTTCTTGGTGGGGAAGTAGTCGGCTGTCCGGCGATAGAAGCCCTGCGGTATCACAGCCCCACAGTGCCTCCATGGCAGAGAGCTCCTCCACCACGGGGCTGTCTCAATCTCCAGGGCTTTCTGGGGACCTACCTGGGGTGTGATGCCACACCAGAAGTTGGAGTAGAAGGTCTGTGAGTCCAGCATGGGGGCCACCACCGACTTGTTCTGTGCCATGAGAAACTTGAGGGTCTGGTTGTTGGTCAGGATGCTGTCAGTGTCCATGAACTGCAGAGACAGCACAGGTTCTGGAGACATGGAGAAGCCCACCTCAGCCCCCACCCCACCAGTGCCCCCATCCCTTACCAGGATGTAGTCTGCCTGCTGCTCCCGGGCATAGATGAGAGCTTCCTGCTTCAACTTCATCACGTTTTCATAGCGTTTGTCACTCCAGTGCTTGGGACCAAGCTCATCAGGGTAGGAGCTGGGCAGGGGGAGGCAGGGGTTAACCTCACTCGCTGGGAATGCACAAACTCGGTGCAGGCTGTTCATGCTGGCAGGCTGAGTCAGCCCCACTCCGCTGAGCTCCTCCTGGTCGCTGGCCAGGAAGAGTTGATGCTGCTCCAGGAGCCCCTCAGCTCACACCTGCCCCCACCCAGCACTCACCCAGCCTCACCTGGGCTCCTCTTGCACCTTCAAGGCCACCGAGTGATAGTCCTTCCCCACCGCCCCCAGCCACTCCTGCAGCATTGCTGTCGTGTTGTCAGAGTTGTGGTCTGTTGCACACCTGGGATAAGGGGACATCAGCCTCTGGGGGTCCTCCTCAAGGAACAACCAGGACCTCACCCTGCACTAGAAATGTTCACGGGGCCAAAAGACTGAGCCAGTGACAGACTTGCTTGGGAACATAACGTGTAATTTGAAGGAACAAAGGCTGCACAGGCAGGAGCGGGAATGCCAACTGAAAATTTCTTCCTGAGTGTCACCACCAGCCAGGCTGTTCCACGGCTCCCACCCTGCAGTCCAGTGGCAGCCCTGGACATGCTCTCCTCACCCCAGCCTTGTGACTGCTCACCATGAGCACTGCAGCACAGCCGCTTTGTCCCCCTGTCCCTGCACCCCACAGTACCCTCATGCATCCCACTGTTCCAGCAGTGAGAGGAAAAGCAAAAAATCCCCTTTCCTGAACATTCCCTTTGCCGGGCACCATCACCATTCCCAGCTGTCCCACCCGTCCCCAGAACAATGTTCCCAGGGAGCCCAGCACAGACAGAGCTGAGCCCACCTTCCACTGGGCCAAACCCCAGGTTCCCACACTCCTTGGCACCCTCGACCTGTCAAAGAGCCCCGGGACATCCCTCAGGCACTGGCGTCATTTGACAGATTGAGGGGAGAAGGCAGGATCTGTATCCCCCCCAGCTCCACGGGCTGCTCTTGAAACACCCTGCAGGATCCTTGTGCCGGGGGTTCCCGGGGGGTGCAGCAGGTAAAGGTGAGGACCCTCCTTCCCCTTCCCCTGCCGGCAGCTGATCCCCGCCCCAGCCCCGCCAGGATCCCCCGCCAGCCCCCGCAAAAGCAGCTGCAGAAAAGTTTCCGACAAGTTCAGGCGACAGACGGCAGTGGCGCAGCGAGGAGACGGGAGACTCCTCTTCCAGCCAACCCCCGGCACGGTAAAAGGGGCTTGGGGGTGTCTTTGGGAAAGGGGGCCCGAGGCTGAGCCCTGCGGGGAGGGAGAAGGCAGCGCCTGTCCCTGGAGATGCAGAATCCCCTCGTGTCCAGGGGTCCCCGCTCTCATCAGCCCCACAGCTCCCTCAGGGGAAGGGTGAGGGTCCTGCCCCTGCACCGCGGGGCTGCCCGAGCCCCTCCCGCTGCCCTGCTGGGTCCCACACACGGGGCAGAGCCACCCCTCACATTGTGGGGCTGGGGACGCTGCCACCAGCGGGGTCCCTGTTCCCCGCGAAGGTCCCTGTCCCCTAAAGATCCCCATTCCTTCCAGTCTGTTCTGCCCACCCAAGAGCCCCCAGTTCCTCCACTCTCCCTAGTTTCACCCCCGCATTTTCCTCCGGGTCCCTGCTATCCTCGGCTCTCCATTCCCCTCAGTCTCCCTTAATCCCCGGACCCTCCTTCCCCCCACTATCCCCGTTCCCCGGGGCTCCCCGCTATCCCCGCGGTCCCTGTGACTGCAGCATCCCGGCTCCCCCCGAGATGCCCATTCCCCCACAGCCCTCTCCTCCCTCAGGATCCGTGCTACTCTCTGCCCGCTCCCCCCGGGGTCCCTCCGCCTCACCACAGGGCGATGCTGCCCGCGGGATAGTCCAAACGCTCCAGGGCTCCCAGGCAGTGCGGCAGCGAGTGCTGCGCGTTCCGGGCCAGGAGGGCGAGCACCAGGCGCGGTGGGGCTGCCCCGGTGCCGGTCCCGGTGCCGGTGGCCAGCAGCAGGAGGAGGGCGCAGAGCGGCCCCGCGGCGCCCATGGCGGAGGCGGCGGGCGGGGAAGGGGCGGGCTGGGACCCGCCGTGCTCAGCGCACCCCCCGCCCCCGGCCCCGGCCCGGCCCCGCCGCCGCAGCAAGCCCCGGGGGCCGGTTTGGGTCGGGCTTCCTTAAATAGAATCGATACGGGTGCGGAGCCCATGGCTGGGGGCGAGACACCCCAGAACCCCCTCCCGAGGATGCTCCAGGGCATCCCCATGGCCACGGGCGGGTCCCCACGGTGCCTGCACGGCGTGGGTGGGTGGGCAATGGATGGGAGGGGGGGTTATGGTTTGGGGCAATATGGCCAAGGGTTGTCGGGGGCAGCATCGCCAGGGGGCTCATGGACAAGGGGATCATGGCCAGAGAGGTTTGTGGCTGAGGGGGGCTTGCATGGTGAGTGGGGCTCATGGCTGCCGTCCTCACCAGGGCAGCCCAGCCCTCTGAGCCGTGTCCCCCCAGGCTGTCCCCATGGCTGGCCATTCGCAGGCCCACAGGCGTGTCTGCGACGTGTCCGAGCCGCGGGCAGGGGCAGGCCCGGGGCCTGTGGGATGTCTGACCAATCCTTCTGGATTTCCACCAATCCATAAATGCAGCTGTCAGTCAGCTCCCGGCGCAGCGCAGGCCTGGGGGTGCTCACGCCCTGCAGGGCGGGCAGTGACTCCGCGCTCCCCCCAGCAATGCCGGGCACCTCTCACCGCGGTGGCACCGAGCCCTGCGGAGGGACGGGGGGATGCCACACGAGGCCGAACTGTGCCCACCCGTGCCAGGGTCAGGGGTGCCCCGGGCAGCTGCTGTCGCCGGCTCCGTGTCCCCCCGGCGGGGCTCTGTCAGGGTGCAGCAGAGGGATTGGGAACTGAACAATCCAGAACACCTGAAAGAATCAACAGAGAGGGCGGGGGACTCACAGGACCCGGCAGCGACTGCAAGGAGAGAAAAATGCTGTTTACAGCCCCGGCTCGGACAAGTATTTCGGGAAGGGTTCGGCGCCAGCGCAGCCGGGAATTCCCAGCCATGGAGGAGCTGCGGGAATGGGCACGCTCCTGAGAGCCCAGCAGAGCCGGACCCACCCGTGTCCGTGTCGGGACTCCACCCCGTGAGGCTGAGCGAGGGGCAGCCCCTCTGCCCGGAGCCCTCGAGGGGATGCGGGCGGAGCAAGGGCCGCAGAGCAGCGGGAATGCCCCGGAGCCCGCGGCCCCCCCGTCCCTCGGGGACACCCCCGCCGGCACCGCCCCCGCACCGCGGCCCCGGCTCGGCCGCTGCTGCCACCTCCCGGCGCCGCCGCCCCGGCTCTCGGTGGGGAGCCCGGGCTCTGCCCGAACTGCATCTGATCCCCACAACCCCCTCTCCCTGCCTTTCTTCATCCCTGCTTTCCATCATCCCCATATCCCTGATCCCCACACCCTTCCAGCCCTTCACCCCTCCGTTCTTTCATCCCTGCATCCCTTTTCTTCTTCATCTCTTCATGTCTCCATCCCTGCATCCCTTCCCTTCTTCATCCTGATATCCTCACATCCCTCCATCCCTGCATTGTCCCTCAGGGTCACAGCTGGACCTGCCCAGGCACCCCACACAGTTCAGCCACCCAAGCACAGCCGTGGCCCCACTGCCCTGGTACAGCCCTCACAACACTCCCGAGCCGTGGGTTCCAGAGCAGAGAACAGAGGGGGGCACTGCCCTTCCCACAGCCCCATCACCCCCAAAGCAGGCAGAGAAAGGGGGGCTGCCCTGTGACACAGGGAAACTGAGGCACGAGCCAGTGAAATGTGCTGCACACACACAGGCTGGGAGTGGGAGAGGGACAGAGCACCCTGTGCCTGTCCTCCCAAGCTCAGCTGGGGTCAGAATTATCCCTGCATTTGCAATCTGCCTTCCCCTCACATCCTGGCTGCTGCCGGGCTCACAACAGACCCTCAGAGCCCAGTGATGGCCAAGTGGCACCTTATGAGCAGTTTGGGGCATACAATGGAAAACCAGCCCTGGGTGAGCTCGAGGAGAAGGGGGACATGGAGATACCTGTCAGGGCTCCTGCTGTGTGCCCCTCAGGGTGTCACAGGGCTGTGACAGCTCCTGTGCCCCAGGAGTGGGACTGGAAGGCAGCTGGCAGGTCCCCACAGGGCCCAGGGTGTCCCCAGGGGGCTCAGGACATCCTCACAGCTCCATGCACTCATGGTGATACCTGCAGTACAGAGCCAGCACTGGGCCTGCAAGCATCCTGCCTGGAAAAACACCTTCATCCCCAAGGCTGCAGGCAGGAGCAGCACTGCACAAAGTTTACAGCAGTATGTTTTCTTTTTTTTTACAGGAAAAAGTTGCTCTTGGACCCAGGGATGAGGATTTTGGTTACCTCCCACCTCTCTCCGCCCCTTCCTTGAAATTTTCTAGGATTTTCAGCAAAGTCTTTGAAAAGCTCCAGTTTCCTCAAATGTCCTATTTTTCTGCTTTAAAAGGCTCAACCTTGATTGCAAAAGGCAAATATATAAAGATATGTGTGTGTATATATATATCTATAAATGCAGATATTCTGTGTGTGGGTTCATGGCCAAGGCCACTACAAGTCCCTTGGTCAATAAAACAGTTTTTTATTAATCTTTTTTCACAAGAAAAAACATCCTGGGGACCCAACTAGCTGCCCAAAGTCCACAGTACTCCCAAGAGTCCCCATTCCCAGGCTGTGACATTGCCCAAATGATGCTCTCCCCTCCAGACATGCCTTCTCCAGACCTCCCCTGACTTACCCAACCTCAAAACATCAGCTGTTTCCTGCTGGGGAAACTGAGGCACAGAGCCCTCCCCCCTGCTTCTCAGCCTCCCAGCAAGTGCCTGTCCAGGGGGAACTGTGGAACCAAGGGAGTGCCTGTGAATCCACCATACCCTCTGCTCTGCAAGCCCCTCATCCTGCACCACTCCAGCTGTTCCAGATGTTTTCCCCACCTCCCAGCTGTTGGGTAGCTCAGGAGGCCAGCACTCCCCTCTCAGCTGGGTTTTCCTTCCAGGTCTCTGCTAAACCCATCACATCCATGGGCTCTGCTCCACTTTCCTCCTCCCAGGCTGCTTCTGCAGTGAGCAAAACCCACAGATCTTCCCACACAGAAAAATGCAGGGGAATTTACGCCATCTTGGGGGGATTTGGGCCATCCTGGGAGGGATTTTGGCCACCCGGGGGGATTTTGGCCCACCCAAGAGGTGATGTGCCAGAGGAGCTGGGGGGTGATGGGAGCAGCATTCTCATCCTGGCTGTGGGGAAAGGGAGATTTGTGCCACTCTAAATGGGGCAGTGAGACTCTGCCAGCGTCCCCCAAACCCCAACCCCCTGGGAGACCCACTGGGGTCTTCCTGGTGGAATTTCCTGTGAAATCCTGGGAGTGTGAAGGCTTCCTGGGGATCCTCCTTCATGTTCTGCTGGGAGCAGGAATCCGTGCTCTGCTCCACCTGCAAGGCACTGCCTCCCTTGGAACCGCATGGAAGCCCTGCAGTGGCCCTGTCCTGACCCTCCTGGGTGGCACAGCTGGCTCAGCCTCAGAACGGTCCCTTTTCTCCCCAGTCTGCACCACCTTCGGGCATCAGGGCCAGCAGTGCTGCTTGGGCTGTCCAAGGGGACCCCAGGCACCTGTCAGTGGGCAGAGAGACACCTCCCACTGCAAGGGGAAACTGAGGCAGGAAACCAACGCTAGGCTGTCCACGGGCACGGAGAGGCTGCACACCCTGAGGGACAACAGGGAGCTGCCCTGTGTCCCCCCAGTGCCACAGCTCAGAGGGACAGTGAGAGAGGGGTACCCCAAGGACCAGGTCCCCCCTGCAAGGCGCTGACCGCTGCACTCCCGTCCCCTCCGTCCCTCCCTCCTCTCACCCCGGTGGGGCTGACGGTCGGTCCCGTCCCAACCCGGGGCAGCTGTGACCGAAAACAAAGCTGTCCCCTTCGGCACAATACCCTTCTGTCCCCCCCCAGCTGCTGACCGCTGGGGTGGGCAGCGGCCGGGCTGGAGGCGTCGAGGGGCCGTGCCAGGCCCCCGCTGGCAGGGGACAATGTTGGCAGTGATGGAGAGTAGGTACTTCAAAAGGTTTTGTTTTCGGGTTGACCCGCCGAGCCGGCGTGACCCCGCAGCCCCCCACCCAGCCCTGCTCCTCCGTCCCAATAGAAACCGGCCACATTCCTGACCTCGAGAGGGGGGGGGAAGTTTCAAACCTCCCCGGGAAGGAGACAATGGGGGTGTCAGGGCAGTGATTTAGGAGGGGGGGCTCTTTCCATCACAAAGGCGAGACAAAGGCGCTCGACGCTGGGAAAGGGGCTTCGGCGGCGGCTCAGGAGAGGGGCCGTGGTATTGTGCCTGGCCAGCCGGCCTCGGCAGCAGGGCTGCCACGGCCTACCGGGTCCCTCTGTGTCCCATTGGATCCCACCGGGTCCCACCGGGTGCCAGCAGGTGCCACTGGGTCCTATTTGCTCCCACCTGCCTCTCCAGTCTGTACCGCAGCCTTCCCGCGGCCACCCTGGAGAGCGCAGCCCGGTGGCTTCGTGGATGTCACCGTGCCCCGTGCTGGGAGGGACAGTCCCCATCCCCACGTGGGATGGCTGGGGCTCCCCCTGCTCCCCACAGTTCCCCATTCCAGCGGGGCTGGCCAGGGACCAGCCCATGCTTTAGGCACCCCAAATTCAGGGCTCAGCTGGGGCCAGGCCCCCACGGGCAGTTGTCCCTGACCCAGAGCCCTGAGCTCCCCTCGCCGCCAGCCCTGCCGGGTGCCCAGGGTTCCATTCTCCTCTGCAGTGGCCATTCCGGTTCCGAGGGCCGGCCAGGGATCAGCAGCTCCTCTGTGAGGAGCTCAAAGGGGCTTTGTGCAC